CGGGGTGCAGTGTCAGGTGGGGGCTGCGGGGTGCAGTGTCAGGTGGGGGCTGCGGGGCGCAGGGTCAGGCGGGGGCTGCGGGGCGCAGGGTCAGGCGGGGACCACGGGGCACAGTGTCAGGCGGGGCTGAGGGGCACAGGGAACTTGGGAGCAGGGAGGGCGACTGGGGACTTGGCAGTGAGGAGGACACTCTGCATTTTCCCCTGGAGCCCCACCCACGCAGGGGCTCTGCCTCCGGGGCCCCTCCTGTTGGGGTCACATGCTGCCACCAAATCCAGCCTCTTGTCACGTCCACAGGGGCTGACCCTGGGTCCCAGGGCAGGCCCCCAGGCTCTGGTTCAGAGTCAGCACAGGAGGGGGCCCTCCTTCCAGGGCCACTGTGCACTCTGAGGAGCCTTTACACCACGTGACCCTGATGTCCACACCAGGACATTCCCCAGCAGAAAGGCCCAGGCCCCGGGGCCTGGGGTTGGCTCATTCAGCAGCGTGATTCCCCTAAAGGTGAACTTCCAACCCCACAAAACCTCACACCTCAAAGGAGCAAGACCCAGAGACGTCCATCACATAAACCAGAGGACGAGAGGGGCCCCGGGTCACTCCACACCTCCACAGCAGAGCCCAGGGCAGTGCAAGGCACAATGAGGCTGAACCGCGTCCTCAAATGACACAGAGGGACACTGACTCAGGGCTGCTGGTTCTGTTAGGACCCAATTCTTGTTTTGGTGCGGTGTCACCCTCTCCTGTTGCATCCAGGGCCACTGTGGGCCCTTGCGTAGTAGCAGGAGCCCTTTGGTGGCAGGCAGTACTGACCCAGGGCGGAGACCCTGGGCCATGTGCTCTTCTGCTCGGCACTAGGGATCCTCCATGGCAAGCAGCTCCCCCTGGGCTGGTCAGGGGGCCCTGGGGGAAACCTGGGGGTCCACTCCTAGAGGAAGAACGCCAGGGAGCCAGATCCCTGCCCTGATCTCAGGTCCCTGAGAACAGCAGCCTGAGCCCTGGGAAGCACCTTGGAGAAGAGGCCAAGCTTCAGACCAAGGCCAAGTTGACCTAATTTTCATCTAAAGACTTTGAATCATTCAAAAAAGTAGTCCCACATCTCGCCTGAAGGGCCAGAAATGGAACAGCCCATCCTGCTGAGGCCCCTGGCTGGTGTCCTGGGCTGGGCAGGCCTCTGGGGTCACTCGTGGGTACAGGGGCCAAGTATGGTCAAGCCCACAGCTTCTCATTTGGTCCTATGTGCTGCCGACCGTCCCGAGATGGCGACGGCTCCGTCTCTCAGCTCAAGACGGGGCCGGCCTCGGCAGACGGCGCCCGGCCCTCGGCGCCTCAGGGCCTGCGTCCCCGCTAGACTTGCGCTCGCAGCTCTTGAAGGAGTGCCCTGGCCAGTGCTCCTGGCCCAGAGGCTCCGGTGCCCAGCTGGTCCCATCTGTACACGGTCTGGTCCAGGAAGCCAATGACCTCCTGGGCGACGTCATGGGTGGGGGCCATCTGCCACGGGGGGAGGAGAAAGTTAGAAGACTCCCGGCAGACTCCCCTCCCGTCCTCCAACCCTGCTGCCCCGTCCACGCCAAGGGAAAGCAGGTCTCCTCTCAGAGGGGGCCCCGGCTCCCTGCAGACCAGCGCTCCACCCCGAGCTGCCGACTCCCCSGGGAGAGGAGGAAGCGGGAGTGACTGCAAGGGGCATGGAGTCCCGGTCCTCCCCAGTCCCCTCCTGCCAGCACCCTGCGAGGGCGCCTGTCACAGCCAGTCCTCGGCCCCATGGTTCTCCTCTGCCGTCCCAGAGCCCCACCAGGGATACCTGTCACACTTAGTGTCACATGTCCTTTGCTCTTCTTGGCTGTGACAGTCCCCAGATGTTTCTGGTTTTGACGGCCTCGATGGCTGCACTGGAGGGATTGTGTCGGCTGCCCCCAGACGGGCTTGGGGCTTGTCTGACACTTTCCCTTATTAGACCTGGGTCACAGGTAGGAGCAAGTGCCATCTGGAGTATCCAGGTGCTCTGTGCCAGCCTGACTGACCCCTGTGCACCTGTGTGACATGCCCCTGGATCACACGGCTGAAAAGCAGCGGCTTCAGCTCACCCCCGGCGGAGGCGAAGCTGGCTGTGGACACCCAGTGACGTGCACATCTCAGCTCTCAAGCACGGGGTCTCCCAGCCCAGGGGGCTCGGAAGCTGTGGTTTGGATGTGAGGCATCCCCGGAAACTGCACTAAGCTGTGCGAGACAGCTGAGAGGTGAGACGACAGGTTCCGAGCCCCTAAGATAGACCTTTCCTCCTCTAATGGTTCTCGTCAGGTCTTTGGGTCACAGTGGCGAAAACAGCTCTTTTTCTTCTGAGTCCTGTTCTAGTTTTTCATGGCTGTTTCCCTCGAGGAGAACCTGTGGCGTCTTGCTGTGCCCATGCGATCACCGCAGCCCGGTGCTAGCTGCACGCCCACAGCCTCGAGGTTCCCGTGCATGTGTGTGCGTGTGCACGTGTGCGTGGCGAGGACAAGGAAGACCCTCCCTCAGCCGCTCTCAAGCGTAGCCTCTCTCAGCTGGGTCAGAACCGGCCATCTCTCCACCGCCAGGCAGCACCTGCCCCCACCCACTCCTGGGACCCGCCCCTGCTCTGTCTGCAGTGTGACTGTTAGAGTCCACCCGTGGCTGAGATCACGCCTGGCTTCCCCATGGGTGCCGTGCTGTCCAGGTGCCTCTGTGCCGTCGCAGATGCATTCTGTGAAAGCACAGAGTGGACTCCCAAGTGTCCATGTGCTTGGTGGCCACGAGGGCCGGGGCTCTCTGCTCTTAGGCACACGGGAGCGCAGAGGCGGCTGGCCCTGGGCCTGCTGCACGGCACCACCTGCGGGGAGGAGGGCCTCCTGGAGGTCTCCCAGGGCTCTCAACAGGAGTCACGGAACCCACCAGTGGATTCAGAGCCACGTCATCAGAGCCTGCCTGGAGAGAGCTGGGCCCCGGACACTGTTCTGCAGGACCAGCGGCGGGGGCGGGCACTCCACCCCTGAGCTGCACCCCCACGCCCCCTTTGAGTGCTTTATGAAATCATAGTGAATATGCACGGCTTCGAGGTCCCCAGGACCGTCCATCACCCTGGCACCCACTATTCTATTCTGTCTCCATGAACTTGGGCACCTCAGGCCGTGGGGCCCTACGGCACTCTCCTGTGCCTGGCCTATTTTCCTTAGCATGAGACCTTCAAAGTCCATCTGTGTTACAGCCACGCACCAGGACTCCCTTTTTCAGGCCAAATAATATTCCACCACACACAAGGGCCTCAGTTGGTTCACCCTTTTGTCTGCTGCCGCCTTCCGGCTCTCGTAAGTGTGCCGTACAGGCTCTGTTCAAGCTCCTGCTTCTAGTTCTTGGGGGAATGTGTGTAAGAGTAGAAGTGCTCCATCCTGAGGAGTCCCATTTGGCCTTCTGAGGCACTGCCAAGCTCCTCTCCACAGGGGCTGGGCCCCTGCAGCCTCCCGGTCTCCGCAGCCTCAGCGTTTACTTTCTTTATTCTTTCACTGGCCTTCGTGAGGAGGGCGGTGGGCCTCACTGTGGATTCGGTCTGTGCTTCCCTTGTGGCCCGTGCTGCTGACATCTGCCCAGTCCTTCCTGGCCATCTGCACACCCTTACAGCGGTGCCCAGTTGAGTGCTTCCCTGATTTCGAATCTGACTTTGTTGTTGTTGAGTTGAGGATTCTTTCCACATTCTGGATACCAAACCCTTGGCAGACACAGGACTTTAGAACATTTTCTCCCGTTCTGAGAACTGTCTTTGTAGTGTCTTGGTCGTATCCTTTGATGCCCAGCAGTTTCAATGTCCAGGAGTCCAACTGGCCTGTTTCCTGTAGGTGCCTGTGTCTCGGTGTCACAGTGAAGACATCCTGCCAAATCCCTGTCTGGCCCACATCCCCCCTCCTGTCACCTGGCTTTGGGAAGCAGTTCTTCACAATTAGCCAGGTTTTGGTAAGCAAACTCTTTGACCTGCAGTGTGAGCGGCCACTCAATGGGACCAGCCCGTGGGGAGACCTTGCCGTGTGGCCTGCGAGATGGCACCTCCTCCCTCTGAGCCGGTCTTCTCCTGTGGCGGAGGGTGCTGCACCGGCAGGCCAGGGGCCCCTCCCGCAGCCAACCCCACTGAACCTTCATCCTCACACTCTAAGGCCTGGGACCCTCGGGAAGACCCTTCCACCTGGAGGTTCAGGAAATCGGGGACTTACAAAGGCCATGGCTTCCCGGGCGATGGTGTGGCCTCTGGGAGCCCAGAGCAGGAAGTTGAGGAGGAGCTGCCTGATGAGCTGGGTGCACGCAGGCGATCTGGGGTCCTCCGGGCTGCTCTCCCCCAAAGCCTGCAGATCCCTGGCTGAGAGGCGGGCGCTTCCCGACAGCTCATGGAGGCGGCGGAGCACGGCCTCAGCCTGCACCTGCAGGGCAAGGGACGGGTGGGGTCAGGCAGCAGCACCCACAGGCTTCCAGAGCGCACTGGGTGCTCTGCAGGAGGCCCCAGGAAGGAGCCACCAGGGTCCAAAGGACGCAGGCAGAGCCCTGCGGCCAGGCCACACACACAGGAACGGCTGGGCCTCAGCTTGCTCACCCAGCAGCCATGCTCCACCCGGGGCCACCTTCTGTTGCAGGAAAGGAAATGGGAAAAAGTCCTCAGCAGAACGCAGCAAGGGGCTCCGCCCAGTGGGGACAGGGACAGCCAGGGCGCCAAGAGCCCACTGCTGGTACTGCCACCGCTGCCTTGGGGACACACACACACACCCATCCCACTGTCATACAGTCACACTCACATAGCCACACACTCACACACACAGCCACACACAGTCATCCAGTCACACACACTCCCAGTTACACACACAGCCACACACACTGTCATACAGTCATACACCCAGCCACACACTCACACACAGCCACACACAGTCATCCAGTCACACACACACACTTATATACAGTCATCCAGTCACTCACACAATTACACACACACACAGCCACACACACTGTCTCACACACACACACACACTTACATACAGTCATCCAGTCACACTCAGTTACACACATACAGCCACACACACTGTCATTCACATGCATAGACTCATACACAGTCACACAATAGTCACACACACATACACACTCATACTCAAACACACATACACAGCTACATACACACACTAATATACTGAAATACTCATATACAGTTACACAGTCATACACACACACACACACACACACACACAGACTCTCGTGGCACAACTGTTTTGTCCGGGACACTGGGACAGGCTGTCTGTATGCCTTTAAGGCTCGGGCAGAGGTCAGAGTCTGTGCAAGCCACATAATGATGGTAACTGTTCTAAGTCTGGGGGTTGTTTCTGCATAAGAAATGCTCATTTCATGCTGAGACTCAGCTTGCTAGAGAAGGCACATCAGGCTGTGACTTGGAAACAATGCGAGGACTCAGAGTCGTGATGGGAAATGCCATGTGCACTCCCAACAGCCAGGCCCCAGGCTTCTGAGAGAGTGCTGGGCCTGTCCCCAGCGTTCCCACGGCCCGTTCTAGGGCAGGGCCAGTTCTAGGGCAGGGCACGGGCGGCTTCCCTGGAAGCCAGGCCTGGATGCCGCTGGCCACGGGCTACAGCACACTGTGGTGCTGAGTCAGCGCCACCAACCACAAGCCAGGCTGTGGGAAAGGCCCCGCAGGCCTCTCCCCACAGGACACACTGACCCACACGCACCCACCCTGGGCGGTGGCACGCCCTGCCTCTGACTGCCTGCCACCCCCTGGGGCCACGGGCTCAGGAGGCCGGCTCACACCTGCTCTGCTCTCTTTGGGCTGCCTCTGACTTTCTGCCGGCGCCCATTGTGCCCGCGGCCCCTTCTGCCCAGACTGGCCCTTCACTGCGTTCGTGTCAGAAGCTTCCATACAACTGCTAATACTTCAAATGCTGTCCAAGTTTTTCAGGAGAAAGATACAAGTTTTATTTTCCTCTTAAAATATTATGTCTTAGTCTATGTTATAAAAACTTACATGCTATGGAAAATTTGAAAAGAAAAAAGGAAAAAAATAAATAAAATCACCTATAACTCTCCCATCCAGAGAGTCACTGTTCCCGAGTAGGTTTATGTCCCTCTCATCTCCCTCTGTGCACGGGGACACACCACCCACTGGACATAGAGCCCTGGGAGCCAGCTGTTCACGGTGCCCACAGAACATGCTGTCTGAGTGCACAGTTTCTCCTGCTAAGAGGCCACCTGTGGTTAGGACACACCAGGATTCGTTCAGATGGCAGCCATCCTACTGAAAGCCTAGGCCTTCCCAGTGTTTGTGATTACAGACGATGCTGTGAAGGACATTCCTATACACGGAGCTGTACGTAACCGTTCCCTTAGGGTGACTCCTTGGGTGGAGCAGCAGGGCCACTGGGAGGAGCCTGGCCCGAGCCTTGGGCATCTGGATACCCGCATGGGATGTCGCCATGATCTGCTTCCATCAGCAGAGGAGATGAACACCGAATGGCAGAGAAGGTGGTCTGCCGTGGAGGGGCAGGCCCTCAGGCAGGCACCATGCCCCACTCTGCGCTCCACGCCTTGGGGACAGCCGCAGAACACAGGTGCTGCCAGGCTTGACCTGGCCACGCCGCTTAGGCCTTGCTTCTCCAGGCACCCGATGGACCACTAGGGGGTCAAAGCTCACAAAGCCCAGGTGCGAGAGGTCTGTGTTCTTGGGTCACCCAGAAAAACTCCCTCCCGTTCCCGGGTGTCACACACGCCAGCCTCGGGCCAGGTTCCCGGGAGGCAGGGGCCGGCACTGCCAACGGAAGCCCTGGAGTCAGCAGGATGGAGCAGCCAGGACGCAGCAGGCACCGCCTATTCTCAAGGAGTCAATCCGCTGTTATGCCAGAGGCCTAAGAATACCCACGTATGCCCAGGGCTGGGCTGTAGCGCAGGGCAGAGCGCCCGCCTAGCACGTGTGAGCACTGGGTTCCATCCTCAGCTCCACATAAAATAAACAAAAAAATAAAGGCATGCTGTCCATCTACACGTACAATTTTTTTTTAAAAAAAGGAGTATGTACAAGTTTTATTTAAAGAAACATCAAAACCTCCAAAACCAAGTTAACTAGTAGAAAGACGTGCCAATGTAGAACTTTCTAGAAATTAAATCTTACTGGAAAACTTCTGTCTCTGACCTTGAAAAGTGAATCTCTCTTTGTCAGTATCTATGGTCCCTAAGGAATTTAACACATACCTACCAACTTAGTTCACAAAGAGCCAAATATGAAATGCATATTAAAGGGCTTTAGAAATCATGAATGCTTTATATGTCTTAATTATTACTGTAAAAAATAAGATGATGAGAAACAGAAACTAGGATTTCCCTTAATTGGCTTAATGTGATCTTCAAAAGGGAAGAAATAGAAGGTTTTCTTTTTAATCAGATAGCTATCCTCAAATACATATGTGGATTATGGTAATTTCTTTAAAATGCAAGTCTTTAAACGGATACAACGTACAGACGGCTGTACTGGTCTGTTTCTTTCAAATAGCAGAATATACAGGGCAAACGAGCACTGCTCCATACATAATTAAGCCCCTTCCCTTTAATTATTAAAATCAGCAAAACGCACTGGCAGCTGGCAGTCTGCAAGCCCGCAGACACACATTGGCAGGGAGGTGCCAACCTTCCACAGACCTGGCTTCCGGTGATCACTGCATTCCAGAGAGCAGTGACGGTGTCCACCACTGCTGCTAGTCCTGGACTTAGCTGCTCTGTCATTCAGGAAATGACCACGGCTCTTTCGGAAGCAAAGTGGTTCGTATCATGTGAATGCTTTAGAAAGAGGTCTAAACAAAGCTGCAATGTGAGGATTCGCTGACTGACTCCAGAGAGCAGTGACTGGCCAGGCCGCCACGGCAGAGAGGACTCACTGCAGACCAGCCTCCCTGTGGCACCCCAGCACGCCCAGCCACACTCACCTGTCCCCCAGGGGAACATCATCACAAGCCCAGAGCTCGGGGGACGGGGACTCGGGGAAAGGCAAGCCCTCTCTGCCGCCCAGCCTGAGCACCGTGGCCTGCACCTACCATGGTCCGTGCTCTCTGCTGGGCCCCCTCCTGAGGGCCGTGGTAGAAGGCCAGGAGCCACAGCAAGGCTGCAGGCAGGTCCATGTCCGACCTCAGTAACTGCTCGGCGGCCACGTCAGCCCATCCTCCAAAGTGGGCGAGCAGGAACCAGCTCTGCAGGGGCCCTCCATGGGATCTGCAACAGAGCCGGGAAGCCTGGTTTTGCTTTTTCTTTCTCTTTGGCTGAGGATTCAACCCAGGGCGCTCCACACTTTTTATTTTTTATCTTGAGACAGGATCTCACTTAAGTTTCCCAGTCTGGCCTGGATCCTGTGATCCTCCTGCCTCAGCCTCCTGAGTTGTGCACCTCCGTGTGTGGCAGCTTTAATGTTTGTATCGGGCTTAAACTGTACTTGTTCACTCTAGAATGACCTGCCAAGAACACAGCTGCTCTCAAAACCTGTCAGAGTGCCACTCTGAACCCAGCAGAAAGCATCTAGAGGGACACCTCTCAAAACCCGATGTGTGCCAGGCTTGGTGAGAGGCTGAGGCAGGAGGATAAAAGTCCAAGGCCAGCATTGAGCAACTCAGTGAGGGCTTTAAGCTACTCAGGGAGACCCTGTCTCTAAATAAAATATAAAAAAGGGCTGGGGATGTGGCTCAGTGGTTAAGCACCCCTGGGTTCAGTCCTCAGCACCCAAACCCAAAACAAGCCCCATGTGCTCTGAGGACATCGGACATGGTGTTACCACCAGGTTCCTTAAATGAGCACAGCTGTGAGGAAGGAAAGTCTGGGCTGGTAACAGCAGATGTGATAGAGGATGAGACCCTGCAAAGCGCCTCCTGCCTGCGCCTGGCCTGCACACCTGGGCTGCTGTGGAGGTGGGCCTCCCTGCCATAGGGGCAGCCCTGGGCAGGCCAGAGCAGGAGAGGAAGTGGGTCCTGGGGTCCAGAAGGAAGCCAGCCTTTGGGACACAGGGGCAGAGGTAGGACATGGGGAGAAACCCGGGCGGCTTCCTTTCCAGGGAGACCCAGGTTCTGCTCAACGTTCCAGCAGCGGGGAATGTCTGCAGAGCGGTGTGTTCTCTGCCTCCCTGTCCTCACGGGGTGTCGGTGCCAGGAGGCTGACGTTTCTTGCAGGCTTCCCCGTCACACAGGGCCTGGGGTTGCTGAGGGTGCAGGCTGCACTTCTCTAGCTCAGGGACATCTTGGCAGGTGAGTGCCTGCCCTGCAGACCACAGGCGGGCGGGCCTGAGGTCAGGGGGGGTGGGGGCACTTCCCTCTGGACTGGCTGCAGGGACAAGAGTGCTCCAGGCTTCTCTGCAGCCAGTTCACAGTGGACCTGGTTTCTTCACGCCCAGGGGTCCCCCGAGCTCCAAGCATTGTCCTTGCCTCCCTAGCCACTGTGTCTGAGCCCTCCCTTAGAACACGGGATCAATGTTCTGAAAAGGATCCTGAGAAGAGTGGAGAACGCGGGAGGAGGGGCCGCTCAGTCCTGGTCCCTGGAGGACAGCAGCCCATCCTGTCCCAGAGGCACCAGCTGAGTCRGGTTGTTGCAGACCTGCGCTCCGTCTGTCTGCCTGACCTGTCCACCTGCACGGCTTGCCCCCACCTCTCACCAGGCAGACGACCATTTTCAAGTCAGGGCTACAGTCCCAGCTAGGCTGGAGGCTGAAGCAAGAGGATCCCAAGTTCAGGGTCAGCTGGGTAATTTAGCAGGATCCTGGGCCAGAAGTGCAGCTCAGTGGAGGGTGCCCCTGGGTCCAGCCCTGTGTGATGAGGGCCAGGGAAGGACCTGCAGCCTGCTCAAGGGGAAGGGCTGAGGGAAGGACCTGCCGGGAGGGGGCCTGGGGCAGTGCTGCTCACCCCTGGGGCTGGCCGTCCACAGCCTCTCTGAGCTGCTGGGAGATGAGCTGCAGTCGCTGGAGCCAGCATCCCTGGGGGAGACCTATGGGTGCAGAAAAGAAGTCAGAGGCAGACCCGGGAAGCGCCGAGCCCAGGAGGAGCAACCTGTGGGGAGCCTGGAGCGGTCTGAGGACAGGCCTCTCCTCTCCTGGTTCATGGCACCAAGCCCTGCTTTTCCCAGCCGGGATCTTCTCGGCCTGGGGAGGAAACATCTGTCCAAGTTACGCAGGGACAAACACGGGAGGGTCTGATGCAGTTACACGGAAGTGGGTGAAGGCTGCAGAAGCAGCCACCTTGTCACGTGGGCCACGCAGCCCGTGCCCCAGGGCTTTCTTTTCCATCCCCCTGACCTCTGCTCTGTCACTATAACTCGTGGTTCCGATGTATATGGAGACTGGACCAAAGCCACCGATGAGGAACGGGAATGGACCGTGAAGACTCTGGAATATGACCTTGGTTCACATTAAAGAAAAGAGGGAAAACATGTGGGCATTGTGCAGACAAAGGTTTCCGCATGCTCTCCTRGCCTCCTGTGGCTCTACGGTGTGCCAGCAGGCGTGTGCTCACAGCTCCCATCAAGGTCGAGTGACGGGGGTGACAGAACAGTGAGGACAGCTATGGGATACTGAGGGCGTCTCCAGGGTGCCAGGGCACAGGGCACCGCCTCGACTCGCGGAGCTCCCCAACCTTCAGCTCACAGCTTCTGGGGATTTTCATGTTCATGGTTTCTTTGAGTGGTTTAGTTACTTATTTTACTTCCCTCTCCTACGGCTGCTAGCTAGGGCTCAGCAGTGACCCTCTTTTGTGCCCCGGGGACCTCACAGTGGACATGAGATACATTTCCAATCCCAACGCCGCTCTAGTGCTCAAGCTAGAAAGGACATGCTGGGAAAGGACACGTCCCCGAGAGCAACAGGGCTTCTGGACTTCGGCTTGAAGTCACTCGTCTATGTGGGGCAGACGTCTAGGACAGGGACTATGATCCCCCAGAGATCCCACTGGGGCCACCCCCAGCATCTGAGGACAGCGCCAGATGGGTCACCTTGGGCCAGAGCCTTCATCTCCTAAAAAGGAGGAGGAATTCTGGAACATCCGCCTTCCTCCGGGGGTCCTCCTCCCTGTGGTGCCGAGGACGGGACGGCCAGGCGAGCCCTCCCGCACCGGGCCCCGACCCAGCCCCTCCACACAGGTCCCACTAGAGTCTGGGAGAAAGGAAGCCGAGGGACTGGTGGTGGCCCCAGCGCGCCCACCCTCCCTGCACCCTGAACAGAAGCTCACCTGTCCCATGGAGGCGGTGGCCGAGAAGGAAGGGCGGTGGCTGTGGTCTGATGGCAGGTGGCACCAGGGCTCCAACCCTCCGCCCCCTGGGTGAGGTGAGACTCCCCTGGGCTTTCCCGGCCTCGCCCTCCACCTTCCCTGCCCCTCAGCCCCAGCCTCGGTGGGGAGAATGGAAAACACAGAGCTGTTCCATCTGACTCAGACCCTCACAGAAGAGCCGGAGCCGCTCTCCCTTCTCCTTTCCTCTTCTTTTGGTCCGTGATCGTCACCAGGAAACGAGGCAGATTCTCATGTCAAAATCCTCAGAAGGTGAGGCCCGGGAGCTTAAGGGATCTTGGACACAAGGCCATCTCCATGGACAGATACGGGACTGAGAGGGAAGGGTCACTGCTGGCCAAAGGTCTTCCCAGATGTCCCTCTGGTCTGGACTCACCTTCGGGAAGTTGCGACAGCACGGTGGCAAGAGACGCAGGGGCGTGAGGAAAGTAGGCCTTGAACGCAAACCTCAGCTGCAACGGGATCCCATGGAAGAAGAGCACAGGCGTCAGACTCGCGGGGCGTGAGGAAGACAGCCTCCTGCGCTGCCCCGAGACCCGCTGCACTGACATGGGTGGACAGYCTCTTAAAGTCTGACAAAGGAAATCTGCTTCCAATCACCTGATACATATTATACAGAGTAACAAACTTCTTAAACTCACCTTTTGGGACTTAAGAAAAATGAAGTTATGCTCTCCATGTCTTATCTGGCTCTTTACCCGACACAAACCCAATTACACAGGTCGCTCTCCCATTTCAGCCGGGCTTGGTGGCTCACGCCTGTCATCCCAGCGGGTCAGGAGGCTGAGGCAGGAGCAGTCAAGTTCAAAGCCAGCCTCAGCAATTTAGCAAGGCCCTAAAGCAACTCAGTGAGATCCTGTTTCTAAATAAATATAAAAAAGGGCTGGCGATGTGGCTCAGTGGTTAAGCACCCCTGGGTTCAATTCCTGCTACCAAAAAAAAACTGCACAACCTTCCGCTGCAGTAAGATCAGCTGGTATTCCCACCTGGTGTTTAAACAATAACAATGGCGGTGCTCACAGGCTCTGTGGGCCAAAGAGCTGGAGCACCCACCCCAAAGGCACAGCAGCTGTTTCCCACGGAGGCAGAACCCGGTCAGCCCAAGATGCACAGGCAGTGAGCCCGGTGCGGGGGTCTGGCAGACATGTGAGAGCATGTCACCAGTACCCAACCAACACACCCCGCTAGGTGCCCGGGACCCCACCCAGGAGGCTGATGTTTGGATTTCAACAAGGGATTAGCCTTGCTTGTTCTCGAGTTCCACGTAAACAGARCCCCAGCACGTCCACTCCTTCACTTCTGGCTGTTTGGGCCCAGCGTGTTTTTTTAAGGTCCACCCATGTAATTGCACGAGTTGTTCATTCTTTGTTGGTTGCTCAGAATTAGTCACCACAGGGACATGCCACAGTTCACCCACACTGTCCTGCTGACAGGCGTCAGGGCTGTTCCCAACTGGAGCCATTATGGACAAAGCTGCAGTTGACATTCATGTCCCTGTCTTTGTGGACAGCTGTTCCCACTGTTGGGCAAGTACCGCAGGAGAGGGTCACTGGGCCAGCGGTGCCAGTTCACTCCCCCCAGGGACGTGTGGATGTTCTAGATGCTGATTGATTCTGCCCTTTCTAGTGTCAGAGGACATCAGCTCATGCAAGCTTTTCTCAGTGGCCAATGACATCAAACAGTTTTCATATATTTACCACCAATTTATGTATCTTTAAGCCTTGGGTCCATCTTTAATTGGGCTGCCTCTAAGGAAGCTGAGAGCGCGCTTCACGTTGCCCGCCAGTCCTGCCGGAGAGGACGCCTCCTCCCAGCTGGACCTGCTGTTCATGCTCTTCAATGCTTTCTGCCAAAGGACAGGTGCTTCGATCCTGACGCAGTGTGACCAGGCCACTCTCCTCCTATGGTCACTGCTTCTGTTTGTCATTCCTTCTAAGAAGTCTTGCTTACCCCATGAGTGGGCATCCGGCTATTCACACCAATTGTTAATAACGTTTCTTTTCCCCACTGAGCGGCTCTGTCACAAATCAACTAAGCACACAGGTGTGTGGGTCTGTCTGGGCTCTGTTGAAATCTGTTTGTCCTTTTGCCAGTAACTCGCAGTCTTGATGACTGTAGCTTTCAGTCTTGAAATTGGCCGGGTGGATCTTCTGATTTTGTTTTGCAAAACTTCCCAACCCCTGCAGGTCCTTGGCACTCCCACGTGACTTGGGATTCAGCTTGTCCACTTCCATTTCACAAGCTGCTGAGGTGGACTGGGACTCGCTGAAGGCACGGGTCAGCCCAGGGAGAAGGGCACCAATAGCTCTGATCTGCTCTCCCCTGGCGTCCAAGTTGGCTTTGGTTTCCTCAGCAGTGCTGTGCAGTTCTTGGTGGGGGGCCGTGCGTCTCTGTTCAATACATTCACAAGGATTTTATGTGTTACTATGAGTTTCTCTCTTTCTTCTTTTACTTTGGTTAGTTTTTGCTTTATGCATTTTGGACGGGTTACTAGGCATTTATGGTTGGTATTTCTGCTGATGAACCGACTGCTCCATCCTCAGGAAATGTCCCTCCTTCTTGGTGGACCCCTGGTCTGGGCTCCATCTGTGCTGACATGGCCTCCTCTTTGCATGACACATCTCTTTCCCTCCATTTCCTTCCGACCCACCCTGGTCTTCATACTCAGGATGGGTAAGTGGAAAACAGCACACAGCTGGTCATTTGTTGGTGTTTTTTTAAAATTTAATCTGACATATGGGCCTTTGTATTAGAATACTTAGTTAATTCATTTACTTCTCGAAGTTTTTTTAAAAATATTTATTTATTTATTTTTAGTTGTAGTGGGACATGGTCCTTTATTTATTGATTTATCTATTTTTCTGTGGTGCTGAGGATGGAACCCAGGGCCTTGCACATGCTAGGTGAGAGCTCTACCACTGAGCCGCAGCCCAGCCCTACTTTTTGAAGTTAATGTGCTTTTGGAATGTTTGGGTTTAGGTCCATCTTTGGTGCCATCTATTTTCTTCTTCTTCTGGTGGCTAACAGCTCTGTCTCTGCCCACCCCATGTTGGGGCCCAGTGAGTGGCCCCCAAGCCCCTAGACCCCGTGGCCTGGCGGGGACACTGTTCTGAATTAAAAGCAACTACAACTCCAGTCCAGAGGCAGAGCGCCCAAGGCCAGAGGCCCGGGAACAGGGGAGGGGGCTATGGCTGAAGAGCACAGCTGCTCTGGCAGGGTCCTCTGGCCCGACCTGGGGTCCCAGGAGGCCACGGCTGAGCTCGCTGGAGGTCAGGTCCTAACTGGGAATATGAAGAGTGCGCAGGAGAACGAGGAATGATCCCTACGGCGACAACTCAGAACGGCTGTGAAAGCCAGTGCCCTCCGCGGAGCTCTGCTCCCAAATTCCAGGGTCAGCACCACTGAGGTCCCCAGGAAACAGAGGACGGGGAAAGTCAACCATAAATACTTATTGTTTCCTTAGAAAGTAGGAACATCTGCTAAGACCTGAGCGGCTCCTTGGGCTAGGGGAGGAGGGGGACCCTAGGGCCAAGCACCCCAGCTCTGCCCTACAGATCAACTGCAGACAGCAGAGGGGACCTGCCGTCCTTCCTGGGGAGGCAGCCAAAGAGCCACACACACACGCCAAGTCTGTGCCTGAGACACCAGGCGCCTCACAATGCCCGCAGTGAAAGTCACCTCTGCTGGGGGGTCCCTCGGGTCCTCCAGCTTATGGATAGCACCTCCTGGTCACTGCCGTTCTTTGCACTGTCATTGGAGTCTTCGCCTGCCCCCTTTACCCACCCCCTGCCTCTGACAGGATGGACACTCGCATGAACAATGTCCAGGGCTGCTCTGTGAGAAGTGGTCCTTCCTACCTGGCCCTGCCTAGCTGGGCTGCAGGAAACCTCTCCCTGGCTGAGGGTTGATCCAGCCAGAGGGACAAAGCGTAAACACGGCCTGGGGTCTTCCTTGAGGTCTACCTGCTGAGCGGTGCATCACCTCTAACACAGCACCAGGTACCAGGCAGGAAACTGTCCTGACTTATTCCAGCTAAAACGGTTTCACCTTTGCTGGGGCATTTATTTGGATGCTTTCTTCATGAGCAAAAGTCCATCTGAATCTCTAAAAATAGCCAGGTGTGGTGGCTACTCAGGAGGCTGAGGCAGGAGGATCAAATTCAAGGCAATTTAGGACAGACCCCCACCCCAGGGTAACTTAGTGAGACCCTGGGTCCAAGTAAAATAAAAATAAAAAGGGGTGGGGATGAAGCTCAGTGACAGAGGCCCCAGTACCACGACTGACCAAAAAACTGTCATAAACAGCTCAGTGGCAGAAGGTATTTAGCACATGCAGGGGCTGGGGTTTGGCCCCCACTACCACAACCAAAAACAAACAAATAATTTTTTAAAATAAAAGTGTTCTTTTCAGGTGAACAGCCTTTTCCTCTGGGGCGAAGTGAGTGACACACAGAGTGTAACGAACCTGCTTGTTTTCCTTGTCCCGAGCTTCCAGGAAGCACCGTGTAAACACCTGAAGAGCAGCCAGGACTCCCGGGGCCCCATCCGTCTCCAGGAGTGCACACCTGCACAATGCGACAGGATCAATGCCTGAGTAACACGGCAAACCTCCGCCCAGACTGCAGTCAAGGCAAGCAGGGGCCATCCTGGGCTGAGCCTCAGCAGCTGCCATCAGACTGCAGTCCCCGCGTGGAGAGGCAGGAGAGACCTGTTGCTCCCTTTCTAAATACTTTCTTTACAAAGACATGAACTCGCTCTTGGTTCGTGCATTATTAACACTGTGTGGCGCTCGAGGAGGCTGCGCGCTCCTGAAGGCATCTGTGCACCACTGGCCCAACATGCGACATCAGCAGATATTTTGCTTTCATAAGCAGCAAAGGGCCAAATGGCTCAGTCAAGTCCCCCAGCAAAGCGGCTGGAAAATCTCCGTGTACCTGATTTGTTTCCATGCATTTCCATACAATTAGCTTTTTGCTTGTTTAAGTAAAAACAAAAAACAACAACAACAACAAAAAAAAAACAAACCAAGCCAAATCAAAACCCTGCAGCCTGGCTTGCTTTACGCTAAGACAGAACTTTGCCATCTTACTTCAGGGCCATTTAGCCCAGAGCTGGCGTGTTTCAAGACGTACCAGTGGCAAGTTATTTGTTGTAAACTCCCTTTCCCCAGAGTCACCGCTGTGTGTGAGGCCGGTGAGGCAGGGGGAGGGTCTGGGCCCTGCTGCCCAGCATCTGCCAGAGGCTGGAAACACTCTGGGTAACAAGTCCCTCAAAGGGGGCCTGGTCTCAGGATTCTGTGGCTAATCCCCCAGATTCCGGGCCATAACCCAGTATGCTGCGACCCTGGCCCTCTAAATCCAATGCCCCCCGCAAAGGACTCACATTTTAAAATAAAAAGTCATGAGCTAGTTAGAAGATAACACGCATGGCTTGCTCTGCCTTTCAGAGGAGTTCTGTTAAGAATGGCTTGATTTGTGCTTCTCCGCTGCCCCTGGCTGAAAGCCTTTTACAAAGCACAGCGGCCCTCGTGTGGTGAGGTAGGGAACTGCACCTCTTCATTCAAGCTGAGAAAGAGCCCACATGGATATTTCATGATCCTAACATCCAGTTTGATTCTGCTTTTAGAATTTAAAACGATCACAAAAAAGAAAGTTATCTTAATCCTTTGAAATAGATTTTAAATATACATTGACTTTTGACTTTACCTTTAATTACCAAAAAGCCTAGCCAAAAAGCCGAGTCAGAAACTCAAGTTTCCTGTGGTATAGCCAGACGACTGCAGATTTTTCAATGATGCTTGGAAGCTGAGCATTTTTAGATCAACTGCTAGCAGAAACAGCATAATATTTACCTGAACATCTCATCGACAATTCTGAACACAGCCGGGTGGCAGGCTGCTTGAGGCTGTAAAACAAACAGATCAGGAGGTGAGACTACAGGTATTTCATCAATAATAATTTGCGTTATGGGGCAGATGGCTTGTCCAGGGCTGCTGGTATGGAGAAATGGGCATAATTCTTTGGGTTAGGAAAGAATAACAATTCATATGTGGTGGGTTGGGAGGCACGAGCAAATGCAGTGGTCCTCTCTGGGTAGGGATTACGGCAAGCTTCATCTTCTCCTTGTCCTCTGTGTGTCCCACATATCTATAATAAGCCCATATGATCCAGAAAGATGCATAAGTTTCATGGACAATTCAAAAATACCTCCTACCGGCATGCTCTAGTGAAAACACAGAGCCCGCCTGTGTGGCTAGTTTTATTTATATGTGCCCTTGTCTGACTTCCTCGACTGGCCTGGAAGTGCCTCAAAGTCAAGTCTTGGCCTTCTGTCTTTGGTTCCTGCTTATTTAGTAACGAGTACATAATAAATTAAAATTACTATTGAGGAAACCAGGAAACTGCCACACTAGGCGAAATGACACCACTTATTCGACGCACTATGACTTAACACCTTTAATTATTTAGGAAGAAAAGATGGTTATGAAGGAAAAAGGCAGCTTCATCTCAAACGATGATTACCTCGTTTGCTCTATCATGATCGGTTTCAGTGACTGACACCTGCAGAAGCTGGCCTCCTGTGGCCTCCAGTGGGGATCCGAGCTCTGTGGGTCTGACCCAGGTTCCATATCTTTTTGGCCAGAGCTCAAAGAATGGGTTTTTGTCTGACAGAAACACCTATTTGTGTTATAAAAGAGAGATTTTGCAGTAGCATCCCAATGTTGGTAGGTCAGGCTCTACAGGGAAGTTCTTCGAAGCACACTGCCCTGTGCACTGCCCTGGGAAGCATTTTCACAAGAAGAACAAACGGCTGTACTCTGCCTCGGCAGTTTTCTGGACCACCCTGTAGAAAGCATGGTGCCCACGCCAGCTTGCCCCTTCCTGGTCTGGGATGGCGTCTTGCGACATTGAGTGTTCGCCATCTAGTGTTCACGCTGAGCCACTGCAGGCTGCCCCAGAAGGCCACAGGCAGGGGCACTGCCACTTGTTGGTGAACGGAGATAGATCTGTGATTTGCACGTTAAAATTCTCTAGTACTGACACAGAGTAACCCAGGGTCCCTAAGCCTTCACCAATTCCCACTTTTATCTAAAATAAGCCAATGTGAAATGCTCGGTATTTAAGAAAATAACTCACAGAGGAAAGGTCGCTTGCTTCCTGGCTTTGATCTTAGCAAGCCAGTTAATCTTAGCCTTGCTGTAACAATTATTAAGAGGTCACTGGATATATGCCCGGAAAATATCACAAGTTTCTATGTATCCAAAATGGATAAGACCAAGCAAGGGACAAGCATCACGGTCCCCAGGAAGCGTGCTTTGCCTAGGTCTGCAGACCAGGCCTCAGTCTTCCAGGTAGACCACCTGCCTCTAGAGTGTTGGGGACCAACAGCACTGCTGCGTGCCCACAGGAGGACAAACAGTCCCGGCAAATGCACAGGGAGAACAAAGACCAGGATGGAAAACAGCAAAAGAGAAACATTTCCTTTTGTTCTAAATGGCCTAACTACCCCAGGGCCATCCTGAGGGTTGAGCTAGCTGCCAACCTCCACATTTGATTACATGGATCTCTGGATGGCCAAGGAAAGCATGATCCAAGGGGTAGATTGGGGCTGCCATGAGAGCCAAGGGGGAATTGAGTGAGAAAGTTCTACAGTCAAACAAGAATGAGTGCGAGAAAGAACTTAGGAGTGTTTCCCAGCAAGAGAGCTCCATCGAATGCTTCAAATGTCCCCAGGCTGTGTGGAATCTGCCTGTTCCCCCATGCAGTGGACTGTCCACTTACAATTCTTTCTTTCAAATATTTCAGAACCTCATTTACTCTCCACCAACCGTTAGCTCTTGGAGGCCAGGAGGTAGGGGAACTCTGCTCAAATAGCAGCAACAGGGATCTTGATGCTCAAAGCAATCTCCCTTCCTGCCCAGCTGTGAGCAGCTACTTCTCCTGGCACCCTTTGCTGTTAGTCTTTAAAATGAGACTCTAACTTTTTTCAGTGAGACCCCTCAAGAGGACTGAAGTGCTCTCAGGTTTGGCACGTGTGCCCATGACATCAAATCCACAAAAGCACACACTGAAGCTGTTTTTCTTACCATGAGAATCTTCTTTGGAAGCCACATCTCCCCTCAAGCCTTCATAGCACCCTTGCAAGTGATAAGGCAAACATTTAACCCCTCTGTCTCCTGCTGTACTGATCAAGGGGGAGCTCTGGTGACAGGCATAGGTCACTGTCATCCAAGGTTCTGGAGCCTAGCTCAGAGACCCCATGGTCTGTGCAATTATCTGTCCTTGAAAATGAGGAAAGAAAAGCTTTCTTGGGTCCATCTGCTCGTCTGTTTTTCTCCATCCCACCAAAATCTGTTCCTTCTCAAGCTCCCTCTTCTCCATCTGGCCTAACGATTTTCATGCACAGATTATTTCAAGTCTAAGGAAACCCTGTCGTCAGGAGGCTATCAAGAACACAAGTTTGCCTTCTTCCCTCCTCCAATCCTTCCCCTAAATGTCAGAGGACAGACAGACAGGGATGACAAGCAGCTGTAGACGCTTGGTCTCGCCTTCCTTGGGCCTGGGTGGTTCTGCTGGCTGTGCACCTGCCCTCCTTCCAGCCTGCCCACCAGCCCACCAGCCCACAGCCACCTGGAACCCCCCTCTGCCTCCAATGGCTGGTCCACAGCTGCCCGAGAGCAGGGAGGCCATCACTGTGGAGGAAGGGCACAGCAGCCATGCTTGCTGCTGCTGCTGCTTGGGAGAGGAGAGGGACAGGCCCTGCCACCAGCCCAGAGAGCTGTGGACAGCATTGACCTCCAGTTCTGCCCACAGGTGTTTTTATTCTGTCTTCATCCCAAACCACAAACAATGACCATTACAAACACACAGAAGAGACTTGAGAACACAGATGAGCAAGTCTCAGGAAGAAATATTCATCTCTTTCCATTTTTTGATTCCATGCATGTGAGAGAGACACAGAAAACAAACCAGAAAGGGAAATCAAATCATGATTTGAGGTAATTCACAGCTAAAGCAAACGCCTCTTAGAAAAAACTACAAAGGTGGCCAAGGGCAGGAACTCCCCAAGTCTCTTCCCGTCACCACTCTTCATGGACACACGCCCCTTCACCATCGAGACGGAAGGTGCAGATGAGCAGCAAGGAGCTGGAGCGTAGGGAGCTCGCCATGGATTCTCTTTCCAAGGCCCATCTGAATGCTCAGGAAGTGATCATCTGAGCAATCTGCAGAAAGACTCCCCCTCCACGTGGCCCACCAGCCAGGCTGCCTGGTCCTGCGAGGATCCGACTGTTGGGAGCCTCTGTCGCCGGCTGGTATATACATATAAATCAAAGGGCAACTATATCCACCACGAAAGCTTTCTACTTAAAAAAGATTCTCCCTAAGATTAATTCCAACAATAAACGCCTTTATTGAGTTAAAGAATGATTTGGTTTTCAAACAATCTATTTATATAAAAACCTTCACATCTACCATATAAAATTAGGCATCTTTATAAATATGTATTTTTCATGATGCCATTTCTCCCCCTATTTTCAAAATGCTAAACATAAAACTGTAAATATTCCTTTTACGTTTTAGGATCTATTTTGTTTTAAAACATTCAAGTTTCTTACAATAAATTTGGGTTTAGAGGAATTATTCTTTCTTTTTAATCTTTACCAGATGTTGTTTATACTATGAGCAATTTTTTTTCAGTACTCCATAATGCAATTATTGTTTAATTAGTGATAAATCTGTCATTCCTGGGCTTAAAAACTTAACAAGTACCAAATGTACTTTTGCGTTTTAAATTTACACACGTTCTGTAAGACACTGATGTGGGAGGTGCACCTGGGGGATGCCCAGCTCTGGACGCTGGACAAAAATCCCTGAAATCTGGTCCTTGGACCAGTGCCGGGATCCAGCCAGCCTGCGTGCGGAGCCTGAGCAGGAGGAAGTTTTCTCGGTGCCCACGCCACTCTGGGGCCAGCCTGAGTGGTAAAGGACGCCTGGGGCATGGCTGCCCTGGCTTTTGTTGCTGTCCGCCTGTGTGTTTTCCCTCGAAGGCTCCATCTTTGCCTGGCTGCAGGGTCACATCCCCAGCAGGGACACGGTCCTGCAGTCTGGGCTTTCTCTACCAGGCAGTCCAGGGGCATCTGGTGCCCCCCAGAGGCCAGCACTGGGAAGTGCAGCTGCTGCCTGGAGGCAGAGCCCACAGCTTCAGCCACTGCTGAGAGTCTTCCACTCATGCATCACATTAAAAAGGAAATACTTAAAAGACTGTGGAGGGGAGAAGGAGGAAAAGAAAACTCTAGAGCATCAGTGACAGCTGTCTGTGCACAGAAACGGACCACATGGTGCAGGCTGTGGAGCTGTTTCCAGCACAGCATTTTGTGAAAGGGACCTTGTGCCCTGGGACCTTGTGGAAACAAAGTCCCTTTTTCCTTTTGAAATGGTCACGACTGCTGTCTGGAGAAAGAAGACAAGTGCACACTCTGGCTCACACCAAGAGCCCCGAGGTGGCCGGAGCTTAACGAAAGCTTAGGCTCTTTCGAGTTAAGAAGTGCTTTGGTGGAGCTGTGAGGCCTTTTAGGCAGGAGGATTGGGGAGGAGTGGACTCCTTACCTGGGCACAAGACCCAAACCAACCCTGCCCCCTCAGTGCCAGCCTCTCCATACGTTGGGGAGGTGCCCAGCAGCTCCTCAGGACACGGCTGCAGTAGCCATGGCTGCAGGTTCAGGGTGCCCCGCCCTGGCACACAGCAGCACAGTGCAGCCCCCTGCCACCTGGCAGCCTTCTCACTCAGGCGGGCTCCAAACAATGGCTCTCGGGGCCCACCAACAGCACCCAGGGGAAGCCAGCCTCGGGAACCCAGAGGCTGCATGCTTTGCGAGTGGCTTCCACTGCTCTTGGTGACAGCACCAGTCTTTAAGGGCAGGTCTGAGGCCAGGGGTTGTGGTCTTCCAGTGACGGTGCTGTTAGGGAGCAAAGCACCGTCTGTCTTTTCTTTTCTTTCTTGTTGCTGTGGTTTGCTTGGGTTCTGGGATTGAGCCAGAAGTGTTCCACATCCCCAGCCATTTCTTATTTTTTACTGCGAGACAGGGTCTTGCTGAGTTGCTTAGGGCCTCACTAAATTGCTGAGGCTGGCCTTGAACTCATGATCCTCCTGCTTCAGCCTCCTGAGTTGCTGGGATTATAGCCACCACTCCTGGCTAAGACCATCTTCTTTTAAGAAGTTTCAGTCTGTACAGTAAAAACTGGGGTTAAAACTTGTACAAACTTCAATTTATCTGGGGGCCACCATCTGTGGCAAGCAGCCACGTACTAGGGGACAGTTTGGTCCGTGGAAGCCAAAGGATGAGCCTCAAAAATAAACAGTTTGGAAAACTCATTTTTATTTTAGAAGCCAAAGATGTGTGTGTGTGTGTGTGTGTGTGTGTGTGTGTGTGTGTGTGTGTAAAATTCATGTGACAACAGACCAGTCCCTATCACTTGGAGTCTCAGTGGAGCACACCAGGCCTCTGCAGTCCTGAGAGGCCAAGTAACATCTGGGAGGTCACTGCACTCTACAGCACTTTCATCTTGTGCTTTGCTCTATCTTGGTAACTATAGAATTTCCAGGACTCGTTGTGTAGAGTCCCCAGAGATGGAAATATAATTAACGGCGTTCCATATAAAACACGAGTTACGTAGACCATCACGCTTTGATTACTCTCAGAGCCCGACTCTAATGTAATAGGCATCGGGTTTCCTCTGCAGCACAGCACAGCAGGCTGGTGCTGGGTCTTGGAGATCCAGCTGATACCTCGGCTCGGTCCTGTCACTGCACCAAGATACTGTGCTGCGATAAACAGGTCGGATGATGCAATTAGGAAGCAGTTCTTCAGGTTACCCCTGTAATCACTCTGTAGGTCACAGGCTTGTTCCAGCCCTCGGGGCCCTCGGGGCCCTCGGGCATGGCAGGCCACGATGCCTGGGGAGAGTGACCCACGCCAATCAGGGGCTTCTAGCCAGTCTGTATCGTAATTACCTCCCATGAACCATGAGGCACAGAGAGGTCACATCCTGCCAATGCCACAATAAATTAAACCAAATAACACCCTCTAGAATCTCCTTTGAACCATAATAAAAGCTCTGAATCTCTAACACATGATCCCGATAAACTCTTGGGGAATCGATGGGCGCTGGCGTTGTTCACCGGGCGAGGCTACGGTCCACTACAAACAGTGCCTGAAGGTTCTGCAACGTGGTGTCCGAGGGGAGAGGCGCCTCTCTCTCTCTGCTATGCTCACTAAAGTGCCACTCAGGTAGAAGGGACACAGGGGAGGTTCAGAGAAGAGCCACAGGAGCAATGAAAGGTCACGGAAAAACCGACCGGGCGGGAACTTCTCCACTGAAAGGAGACTCACAGAAAACTGATCAACCCTCCCAGAAGCACACAGTCCACTTTCTCTATTTTACCGCTGAGAAGCAACCAGAAGAAAAGTGCCTTAAAATACAGCATGCGCGTTTAAGTCAGAAATAAAATTACGAGGCAATAAAGGTGATTTATTGCCTTTAGTAACTGGAATGGCCTGCCAGAGGGCTTCCAAAATTTTTTGATAATTTTAAATTATGTTGTGATTGTTTTAAAGTAAGGTGCCTTCTTATCTCTTGCTTTAATATGCAACTCTCTTGAAAATGAGGAGATCAAATAGTAACTGCCCTTAAAAATGAACTCTTGGGGTCTCTCAGTCTTAATATGTGTTTTTCTTTCTTTTTTCTTACCAAGTGCTGTCAACTTTCAGATCGAGTGGGTTCAGTCGGGGCACCCGACTGGCAAGTGACAGTGGGGGGACCCACACGGTTTTCTGACCGGGAAGCCCAGACACCAAGATCAGGAGGGGCCCTGGAACAACAGGCCCCAGAAGAGGCACAGAGGAGGCAGCAACTGGTGCCACCGGGATCCCCACACTCAGCCTCCAGCTTGAAAGAGAAAGAAGAGAACAGGAGGTTCCAGCAGAATTAAACACAGAGGAGGCCCCGGAGACAGCAAGGCCCTGCTGGTGAGCGCAGGACCATGGGCCCAGCCAGCCCTGGCCCCAAACGTCTCAGCCAGGACGGGGTGAACACTCCCGACCCGTGTCCTGGCCACACTCGGGATGGGGCTGTCAGCAGAGCTCTCTGAGCTCACGACTCTCTGTGCCAAACCCCAGAGGTGACAGTGAATGGGAAACAGTGCAGTCCACGGAGGGTCCTGGGAGACACTCTGTGGCACACGGCACAGCCCTGCGACAATGGCAGCTTGCCACGTCATCACTCCTGTGACTCTCCAGCTGGTGGTGCAAGTGTGACAGATGTGGCTATGCTTTGACAGCACCAACTCCACTTTGGGCTTTCTCTTGTCACACAGGTGTGACTGAGCCAAGCGGCTGACAGCTGTCACCAACTGAAAGGAGCTGATATCCTGGGCTTTTCCCTCCCGACCCCGAGGCCTGGCCGCTGAGGTCATGTGCCTGCTAGGAGTGGGCACTAGCACCCTCAGATGGCCTTGGAGACACGACACTTGCTGCAACTGCACCCCGAAGTCCATGCTCTGCCCCAGAGAACAGGTCCCCCTGGGCTGCGGCCTTCACAGCAACACCCATTGATTGTGGCTTGACAGCACAGTCTCCAGACCTTTCTTCTGTGGACACAATCTGTTATTTTCTTTTGACTTGTTCCCTTTGCTTTGAGATGAGAACCCCTGGGCTCAGGGCACCCTCCTGTCTCAGCCTCCCGAGCGCTGGCCTCAACACTCAGGAGGGCGCGCCAACACGCTCGGCTTTCTTCTGCCTATTTTCGTCTACGTTTTCACACATTCCTGTGCTTACTTGTACTCATTCTGTTCTTGTATGTCTTGGTACAAACCAGGTCATGTGGAATCTACCCATGCCTCATTCGGCTTGTCACTTGATTGAGAGATAGAAGGACCAAGGAGTGGGGCCACCCTGGCTGGTCCACTGTGACATGTAGCTTTTTGGATTTTCTCATCTTGATTTCTTAACATAACTGCACACTGACTGCACAGAGCTGCCTCCCACAGAAGGAACCGCAGGACGGCTGACGCTGGGCCAGGCAGTGTGGCCCTGGGGCCACTGAGTCCTTGACGTCACAGGCCTGGGGACGAAGGCAGTGGAGCCACCACAGAAGGAGGTTCCAAGGCTGAGAGCCTCACCCGAGAGAAAGCTTCCAGAACCTCAGCCGCTCTGATGGTTGTCCTGGGATCTGTTTTGGTCTCCTGGCTGCTACTGTTCCTCTGGTGAAGAGCAAGAGGCTTATTTTTAAACTGTTTCTGTTAACTGATTCCTCCTCTCCCTTGGCCACAGATCTTCATTTTTAGAAAACTTTCCCCTAGTGTTGAAATAAGAAATAGTATCTCTGAAAAGCCTCCTTGGGTGCCCCAGGCCTGCAGGGCACCTGTGGCCAGGACATGGGGGCCGGGGATGAGCAGTGCTCAGCCTCCTTCCCGGGCACCACCACCCTGTGTTGTGGGGAGAAGGCAGGCAGTGGACAGAGTGGACCACGTTCCAACAGGTGCAGCAGGGAGGGGCCGATAAAGTGCTCCTTTGCAGAGCCCCCTGAACCTTTGCTGTCTAAATGTCCGTCCTGTGAATACACCATCTGAGGCCCACGGATCATGTGGCTCTCAAACCTCTCCCCCTAGGCACCACGTGCATAGAAAAGCTGGCGAACCAGGTGCTTTCAAGATAAGATGTAAACGCCGTCTCCCATGCTCCTGTTTATACCCGCCCCACCCTCAACTCCAGGAAACGATTCCCAGCATCTCCCTGGAGGATTTCCCCCTCACCAAGCCTTGCACGTACCAGCGATAAATCTTTGATAAAGCACTCGATCTCTCTCAGACGATGCCTCTCACTGGAGATGAGCTTTTCAAAAAGATGCAACACTGCTCTTTCAAGGCTGGGAAGGTGCTGGAGCCACAGGATGGTGACAGCCGCCACGGGGAGAGAGATCTTCTTCCTTTCAGCGAGAAACAAGAGGAATGTTAGGTAGACACGGACCCTGAAAAAAGAATGCGCGACACTCACCGCGCGATGCCCACCAGCGCAGGAGGCCTCTCGGTGGCCAGAGCCAGAGGGGATACTCATGGCACCCAGGAACAGTCACTTTGTACTCGTTTGAAAATGACACAACTGGGGCTGGGGGTGTGGCTCAAGCGGTAGCGCGCTCGCCTGGCGTGCACGGGGCTCTGGGTTCGATCCTCAGCACCATGTAAAAATAAAATAAAGATGTTGTGTCCACCAAAAACTAAAAAATAATTATTAAAAAATTCTCTCTGTTTAAAAAAAAAAATAACACAACTACACTTGTACCTAACCCACCGTAAGGATCAGAGAAATGACAGAAAATCAAGAAAGATCAGCAAACTGACAGTGAAGAAAGAAAAAGAGAGGATAAAAAATGAGTGGGAGACAGGTCTCGTGTGTCCAGGTGAACGCAGGCCCTAACTTCAGAAAATAACAGATGACCTTGGGAAAGCTGCTTAACCTTTACACCTCAGTCTCCTCATCTGTGAACTAGGTCGGAGGGTCCACACAGTAACACATGAGCAGTGCTGAACACAGCGCTACCCTGTCAATGCTGAAGAACTCTGTTTACAAATCTGTTGCTGAACAGTTAAAAAATGCTTTTTATTAACAATTCACATCAGGTGGTTATGAGGAGCTGATACAGAGCAGACCTTAAACATGGCAGCTTCATAAAAACCATTTCTTGCAGCTGTTTCTGCTGGAGGGTCCTCTGGTGTCAGTAATTGGGGGCTCTAGCTCCCCTCCTGGGAAGGACTGAGGGGTGCACCCCAGCCCCCAGGGCTCCCTGCCCTTACCCTCCTGTCCCACACAGAAGGGCGCTTTCAAGGTCTGCACAGGGGCTGACTGTTATTAATATGTCCTGGCCACAGGTGCCCTGTAGGCCCGGAGCGTCCGAGGAGGCCAGGGACTCCACAGCAGGCTTTTTAGAGAAACTATTTCTTATGTCAACATGAGGGCAAAGGCCCCATTACCCCTTCAATGACCCCCCTTCAGCCCCTGTCCCCTCACCATGACTCCTGGGCCACTTCTCTGCCGAGCTGGTGGGAAGCCCAGGGACCACTGTCTTCCCGCTTTGTCCTTGCACCCACCTTGTCCTGGAATGACCCAGGGGACAAGGGAAGCCAGGGGGATCGTGGAGGACCAGCTGGAGGGCGGGAGGGCCTGGGCACGGCCTGCCTCTGGGCTCCTCTGATCTCATGTCCTCACCCTGAGCTTCGACTCAGCAGGGACCCCAAGCAGGACCCCTTTCTCCATCCCATCGCCTCCCACACCTGGCAAAGAGCTGCTGCAGGCCCACAGCCCTCCATGACCGCTGTGCCCGACTCAGGTGGAAAGGGAGAGCGGACCAGTGCTGTGAAAGATCTGCGAGGGGCTCTGCGGGAGGGTGTGGACTCAGGCACAGCAAGCAGAGGCACCAAACAGGCCCGCAGCGTCCCAGCTCCGGGGTGAGCTCTGCCTGGTGACAGGCTTTGGGGAGGTGCTGGCTGCATGGAAGGTGGTGAGAATGGATGAGGAGCTAAGGGAGGAGCACTGAGCGGGAGAGGAGGGCCTGGGCACAGGCCATGCCCAGGAACACGGGCATTCAGGCGTCGGTGGAGAAGGAGGAAATGCAGACGGCAAGCAAGCGGGAAGGCAGGCCCTGGACAGATGCAGAAGAGGGTGAGGGGAGGAAGGGGGCGGTGGCGAGGGCAGGACTGGAGCTGGGCCTCCAGAGGGACAGCTGCAACAGGAGGACACCAGGCAGAGTCTGTGTGGCCTGAAAGTGGAGTTTGAGGACCACGCGGCCGACTGGTGATGGACAGGCACCTACTGCAGCAGTATCACAGAGACCAAGTTAGAAGCCTCTGGGAAGTGTGTCCCAGGAACCACGGGGTGGAGTGAGACCCACGGACACTGTGACACATACTCCTTTTTTGTTTTATAATAAATGAGCTGGGTCTACATCCCCTGAAGGATGTCCAAGGTAGGGTGGTTGAGAAAAGGTTCCAGAGTGGTACGTATAGTGTGACAGTAGTTGTGTTGTTGTTCTGTACTTAAAAGCTACTTTAAGAAGAATGAGGACTCCTTTAAATAGACTACTGTGTGTTAATAGGAATATCAGGTATAGTTAGCAGAAGTTGGGGGAGAGACAAAGGGAGATCATTTTCTGTATGGTGCTGTCTAACCTGATAAAATGAACCTACATCCTGTGGAATATTTTGTTTTCTTGTACTAGAGGTTGAACCCAGGTGCTTTGTCACTAAGCCACATCCCCAGACCTTTATTTTTTGAAACAGGGTCTCACTAAATTGCCCAGCTGGCCTCGAACTTGCCATTTTCCTACTTCAGGCTCCCAATTCACTGGGATGGTAGGCATGCACCACCACGCTCCGCTGGGCAAATTTTAGAGTCAATGAAGTAAAAAAGAAAAAACAAAAACCACACTGTGTTAACAGTTCTGGAGCGCTCCCTCTGGCCACCAGGCACTGTACTCAGCATATGATAGGCACTGACCTATTTAGATTTAGATGTGAACAAGCGTTCCAATTTGCAAGGAACAAGTTCATAATTACAAAAGGGAACCCCTCTGATGCCCAAAGTGTTGTGTCAAGATTAGAAGTCACATGGTCACCCTGCTTACCACTCATGGCCACTCCGCGAGGTTAGCTGGTGGTGGTCAGTTACTCCTTCTACCATGAAGGAGTAACTGACCATGTTCATGCTCCCAGAACATGTACTCCACCAACTGTGCAGAATCTTTCATCCCCACGTCAACTAGTTCTCCATCTCTCTGGACACCAGCTGGGTGCCCAGTGATTCAATTCAATTCTGACCCTAAGTGCCCTAGGTTAAAGCAGACACCATAGGATAAGGGCTCAGCCCCATAAACTGTTCCCTCTGCAGATACCAATTACAAGGTGGTGGTGGGTTCCCTGTTTTCTGACTATAACTCAGAGGTTGCCATGATCCCCTCTTCAGTTTGATAATTTGCTAGAATGGCTTACAGAACTCAGGAAGGCATTTCTCTTACTCTTATTACCAATTTATTATAAAGGACACAACGCAGGAGCAGCCAAACGGAAGAGGGTCACAGGCAGGGTGTGGGAAGGGGCTTGGAAGGGCCTCTCAGGTGTACCACATCCCAGCATACCTTGGTGCTCACCACTCTGGGAGCCCTTCATGCCCCGAAGTTTCAGGGTTTTCATGGAGGTTTTGTTAGGTAGGCATAAATGACCCATCACTGGCTTGGTGACCAGGAACAATCCCAGAGGTTGGGGGTGGGCTGAAAGTTCCAACCCTCTGTTCACTGTGGTTCCTTTGGCCACCAGCCTCAGCTTGAAGCTTCCTAGGGGTCACCAAGAGTCACTCCAGAGCATAACTCAGGTGGGGCTTATGAAACAAAATCTGCTCTTCTCACCCTGACCACTGAGGAAATTCCAAGATCTTAGAAATGGGACAACGGCCACATGCGTATTTCGTACTACATCACAATACCTCCGTTGTGCGTTTCTTCTTCTTTCCATTTGTTTCCTGGCACCTTCACCCAGGCATGGAGAAGAGCTTCTCTGTGCAGCCTCAGACTTGTCTGTGTTTCTGAGGTGACGGGTTTGGATTCACCTCAAGGACGTGTCGTGCCAAGCCACTTATGTTCTGAAGACTCATGAAGGAGCCTCAGAGCCTCCCAGAAAGGTCTATGCAACCTGCAGCCTGCGGGTGGCTGTGACGGCTCCTCTGGTTGTCTAACCTGCAGGGGGCGAGCGTGCTCGGGGAAGGGAAGATGGGCAGCCTGATTCTGGAAACAGGGCAGTCCTTGGAAGCCAAGGCCAGAGATCCCCAGCTGATCACAAAACAGATATTCCACTGGCGAGTTCTGGTAAGGCCAATGGGTCAAAGAATCGCGTGGTTTCAAAATGACTAGGTGGCCCACGAGGGGACATGTCCAGGGGCCAGGGTGGGGTGGCAATGGCCCCCACTGGCTGACTCAGCCTCCCTGTGTCAACATGTGGCGGGGATGCTCTGTACAGGGGAATGTGGCCAGGGACAGGCTCCAGCCCTACACCACACTGGGAGAGCTCACTGAGCCGAAACCGTAGGAACTGGACAGCTGAAGGCCACCCAGCAAGCATTTCTGGACAGTCTGTGCCTGCGGATTAGCAGACATGATGTTTTTCCAAACCAAATACATTTTATTAGCTGTGGAGGGAGGGTGGGCTATCGCAGGACAGCAGCGCAGGGCCGCTGCCCGGCTCTCCTCCTCGCTGGGCACTTCTGGAACAGCTTTCTGGGGTTCCACAGAGGATGCCAAGGGCTATTTCACTCTTGTCCTCCTTAACCCAACTTTGCTGAGAAAGAGGACTACGTGTTGAGGCTGAAAAGGCTGCGGCCTTCTGCAAGAGGCAGCCTGTGAGTCAGGAGCGGGGCTGCCAGGGACAGGCAGGGCTTGTGCGTCAAGACAGATGTCCTGCAGAACTGCTGCGAGTGTGAGGAATCAAGTGGGCGGGGAGTACCGTTAGAGCGCCAGGGGTGGACTCTGTTAAGTGTGCACAGGGCGACACCTGGGGCACTGTATAAACTGTCACTTAATCTCTCACCTCAACATAGAGATGTCAGACTCCTGGGGAAATTCAGACTGGGTGTATTTTGACAGAGGGCTTAAAGTAGGGAGAAAAAAGGGCGTGTTTTATTCTTTAACCATGAAAATTAGTTTTTATTTTATTTATTTATTTTTTTACCATACTGGAAATTGAATGCAGGGATGCTCTCTCTACCAGTGAACCATATCTCCAGCCCTTTTATTTTGACCAGGGTCTCACTAAGTTTCCCAGGCTGGGCTGGACCTCTCAGTTCTCCTGACTCAGCTTCCCAAGCAGCTGAGATTGCTAGAGTGTGCCACCACACCTGGTTAGTTTATTTTAAAACAACAAATGACAAAACCTATTTCCTTTCTAAATCTTACTTTAATGAAGTCCTGGATAACCTTTCATAGGAAATGAATTAAAAATGTACATTCTTTTTTTTTGGTACTGAGGATTGAACCCAGGGGTGCTTAACCTCTGAGCCACATCCCCAGCCCTTTTATATTTTATCTAGAGACAGGGTTTTGCTGAGTTGCTAAGGGCCTCACTAAGTTGCTGAGGCTGGCTTTGAACTTGTGATCCTTCTGCAACAGCCTCCTGAGCTGCTGGGATTAAAACGTGTATTCTAATTTTTAAGAGTTACATGTGAAAATTTAAACCCTCTCCTGAGAATGACTTCCTCTGAACTAACTGTAAGAACAACACAGTTTTGAACTTGTTCATTTTCTAAATGCAAAGGTACAATAAAAACCCATCTGAAGATGGAGAAGACCTACTTATAACATTAAACAGTTCAAAACGAAAATGCCACAAAACCTAGAGAGTAAGAGATGTCTAAAACTCAGGCATGAAAAATACATCAGCCATCGCTTGAAGATGGCAGAAGTAAAACTCAGCAACGAGAAGACAGACACATGCTCTTGGTTAGGGGACCGAAAGCCTCAACCTCACAGGGATGCCAGGTCTCCCCCAGTTCATCTGTGCTCCTAACAGGACTCGTTCCTAAATAACATTAGGGGTCTTTCCTGAGGCCAAACTGCTCCCCAAGTTTACTAACATAAAATAAGCAATAATATGTTCACACATACACATAGATAAACTGAAAATCCACTAAACTAAAACTAGAGGAGAGCCAAGAAGGAACTAGCCTTAATTCACAGTAAACACACTAGACTCTACCACTTAAACAAAACGGGGCATGAATACCCAGCAGACAAAGAGCCACAAAGGAAGACAAGATAAGCCCTGCATTCAGACCTAGCACACGACCCCAGGCCATCCTGAGCCGGGGGCAGAGGGTGCTTGTGTCCTGGAGCACATTCAGGAGGGTGGCCATTCGTCCTGGAGAGCAGGGAGCTGGCCCTACGTAGCAACACAAATCACAATGCCAGACCACAGGTTGAAAGCGCCGTCAACCAGATCCCCTGAAGCCCTAAACTCTAAGACAAGTTCTGAGATACTTAGGGGACTTTGATTCCTAACTATATGTGAAATGATAAGAACTAGTGTCAATTTTGAGATGTAATGACTATGTTTTTAGATATGCACTGAATGGAAGGGTCTATGGAGATAAAAGTTCTCCAATTTCTCTTTAAAAGTATTTAAATAACAAAAAAATTTAAAAAATAAACAAAATATTTTAAAAACTATACTTTTAACAAAATCTAATGCTCGTCATAAGTAGCAAATATCATTTTAAAGCTACATCAATAATCCTTTAAAGCTACATCAATAATCCTGTATACGCGTATTGAATTACATACTGTAACCGAAATAAGTACAGTGAAGAAAATTTCTTTGAATAATAAGGAATTACAGCTCTGCACCTTGAATTCTTAAAAAATGAACAATTTGAATTTCATTTTCTGAGACTGCATAGAATCTGGAAATTACTACACCAAGATGGAATTGAGAAGAGAGGAACACTGTTGGAAATCACTGCAGAGAAAGCAACTTCCCACATGCTATGATTCTCAAGGTGGAGTCCACAGAACCCCGGTGGGGAAGAGGAGGAACTGAGACCCATTCAGGGCTCTGTTAGGTCCGAACCATTTTCTTAAAAATGTTCCATGGCATTAACTTTTTCCTCTCATGCTCAGAAGAGTGCCCGAGTGTCATGTGGAGGCTGCGTGACACCTGATGGCACTAGGTCTCTAACACTCAGTGGGCCAACGTCATATATTTTCAGAGGTTAACATGGTTACTCTCTTTTCCTCTCCTTGCTTTTGCTATCTTTGGTTATACCTGATATATTAGCAAAAAAAAAAAAATCACTATTTTAAAAACCTGATATTTTCCTTTGTGTGTACATGGAAAGATAACAAAAAACAAGTATATTTAGTTGGTTTTTTCAGCAGTAACTTTTTTTATTTTTATTTATTTTTTTTGCTACTGGGGATCTAACTCAAGGGCACTTAACACTGAGCCATTTGTATTTTTTGAGACAGGGTCTCGCTAACTTGCTTGGGGCCTTGCTAAATTGCAGAGGCTGGTCTCGAACTCACATTCCTCCTGCCTCAGCTTAGATGTGTGCACCACCGTGCCCAGCTGTAGCTCTAGACTTAATACATAGTTCAGATTATTTTGGAATTCACCAATATTTTACTTAAAAACTAAACTTATTTATATTGTATCTTCTTAAGCTTAAGAATGGATTTCTGGCTTTAGAAAGGAGGGTTAAGCTTTGCTTTCTTGTTCCCAGCTCTTTCACCAGAAAGAGGTAATACAACACATGGGAGGGTCCTGTGATTCCTGGGGTGGAGGCCTCTACTCCAGAAAGTGGCTAGACCATAGATAAAGCCAACACGGGAGGAAGTGGTTTCTCGTGTGGCTTCAGAGTCTGTAATTCACCTTCCTGGATCTTATGCAACAGAAGCCTTCATGGATTTCAACCAAGTCTAAATAAAAGGGAACCAAATGGGCTGGGGGTGTGGCTCAGTGGCAGAGCGCTTGTCTAGCATGTATGAGGCACTGGGTTTGATCCTTAGCACCACATAAAAATAAATAAGATAAAGGCGTTCTGCCCATCTACAACTACAAGAAATTTAAAAAGAAAAAAAAAAAAAGGTGAAACCAAATGATCTCAAAGTATGTGCTAGATGTGAGCCAAGAACATCCCGCAGACAGAACTGTGGCCTGCCTGATGCACAGCCTCACACCTGGCTGGCCCTACCTAGTGGCTCACAGCGGCTGGTCTGCTCTGATGGGACAGAAGCAGCAGTGGTGACTGGTGACACTGGGAGCGCCCCCTGCATTCCTCAGCGCCCCGCCCTCCTGGGCAGAGCTGACCTTTTAGACTGTCAACCTTAAGAGCACTTGTCAAAGTCCTGACAAAAGGAAAGCACACACAGGCTCTTCTGCTCCTGACCCAGGCATGGCTGACGGCAGAGGCACCCACACGGACTGCAGTGGCCTTTTCCCCCCTCATGGAAACATACTGAAGAACGACCAGCAGACGATGACCACTCACACTTGGGTCTTTGGCAGATACTTTCACAAAAACTAGCAAAGTGACTGGGTCACCTTAAGGAAAACAAATGACAAAATCTGTGGCTCATGATACATTGGAGCTTTTGAACAGAAATTAGGATTTTGGAAAATCTTGAAGACCAACATGAGCTTGGCAGCTTTCCAACATGTAAAGGCATTTCTGATGACACTGGTGGTGACAGTAATGATTTTAAGTCTTCATGCTGCACGATGAATTATTTCTATGTTTGGAGGATCTGCATAACCAGTCAATGAACCAAGACTTTCCAAATGGACCCTGTGCAACACACCAGTGGGTTTTCATTTAACGGCACACGAAAGGCTCACTGTATAACTGCAGATTCCACAGGGCCACCAATCTCTTAAAAAATGACCATTTTTCAAATTTTGGTGAAGCATCAAAGCAAAATATTCACAAAACCACCGGAGATGGCTACTACAATGTTTCCTCCTTTCCCACCACAAACCTGTGTGAGGCTGAATTTTCTTTAAATACTTCACCCAGGACAACGTGTCCCACCAGATGTAGACGTGAGAAACTAGTTGTTACAAAAATGTGAAGACTGCCATTTCTGCCAAACAACTTTTGATTTAGAAAATATCATGATTTTTTCATAAAAATATGGTATTTATGTTAACACATGGTCAATTTATTATTTTTTTAAATTAAGTTTTTGTGTTCTTTTTGTGGAACCTGGGATCAAATGCAGGGCATTGTACTCGCATGCTAGGCAAGTGCTCTACCACCTACTACAGACTAGAAAATATTTTTAAAATGTTAATTTCAAATATGATATAGATAGATAGATTGACTGATAGATTGATCCATAGATAGAACCCATATTTTAAAAGGCTCTGTGGGATCATCAATAATTTTTAGGAGTGTAAAAAGAGTTCTGAGATCAAAATGCTTGCACAATGCTGTTGTCTAGCATCCCCATGCCTGGGAGCATTCTAAGTAAAGGAAAAATGGAATGGACAGAAGGCTAAATGGACATTACTTACAGCAAAAAGGCCTCGTTGATGGCGTCAAAGAGCTCGGGCCAGAGGACCTCCTGAGGCCCTTGGCCATGGTAGGTGAGCAGGGCCTCCACCAGGGGTTGACAATCAGGCAGAGTAACAAGAGGGACACAGATGCGTGACAGGGACATCAAACGCTCAGGATCCATCCTGTGGAAGAAGTAGAATAGGAAATACCCAAATCTGAGAGCCACAAATATGAAAAAGGTCTAAAATCCTGATGTGAAGAGATGGATGGCAGGCCCCTGTACTGGCCTAACAGGGAAGACCTCATAATCAGGACTCCAGGAAGGAGCCCTTGGGCTGCCATTCTGTTGCAGTGTCACCAAGACTTTACCTGGGACCACATTTACAGTCCCTCCAGCTCACCAGGCTCCAAGGGGACCCCGAGTTCCTGTTCCAAGTGTCCTTCCCAACGCTGGCTCCATGGACTGGCCCTGAACCCTCCCTCCATCCTGGTCCTGGCCAGATGACCACCTGTGCCTGGCTACGCAGCTGTCTCCCGTCTCCCTGCTTCTGCCCTTCCTCCCACTGCTTATCATTAGAAGGTTCCAGCAGCTCTCCAAAACTTCAGACCACATGACCGTCTGCTCCAGGCCTTGCAGCGGCCTGTCCCCACTCACATGGTGAACAAGTGAAGTCTCTCGCGGGCCACACTGCTTCCTGAGACGGGCCCCTTCTGTTCCATGGGCTCCACCTCCTTCCACTCTTCCCCAGGTCTAAAGCTGCTCTGAAGGCTGAGCCAGGCCCGCTGCTCAGCCTGCCTGTAAGCACAGCCAGCGCCCTCGCTGCTGGGAGGTCTAGATTCAGCACGGCCTTGGCAGTCTTCCCTGGCACGCCCTCTGCGCACTGGCCACCATGTGTGGCAATCTGAATTGAAATTAAATAAAACAAAACATCCAGTGCCTCCAAGGTACTGGGCACCTTTCAAGTGCTCGCTGGGTACGTGAGGCCAGTGGATCCAGGATTGGACAGCACTGCTGCAGGTCCCTCTCACCCACACAGGGGTGCTCCGCTAAGCTACATCCCAGCCCATTTTTTTTTTTTTGAGACAGGGTCTTGCTAAGTTGCCCAGGCTGTCTTTGAACTTGGTTATCCTCCTGCCTCAGGTTCCCGAGTCACTGGGATTACAGGTATGCGTCACTGTACCCTGTAACCCTCGTTCCCTTTTATAACTAAGTTTTTACTCTTATCAAATTTAGAGATGCAACTCAATCATCTGTTAAACAGTTCTTGGAGATTGTGGAAAACAGGGGCATCTCGCTCCCTTATCTCTGGGTAACCACTTCCAACCTCACTCCTCACGTGTTCCATGCAAAGGCCCACCTCAATGGGACAGCCACCAGATGACACAGAGAAAAGAACCCAGGATGCTGCCACTGGGGACACAGGCAGACACACAAGGCCAATTTGAAGCATAATCGGCCCGGCCTGCCACCTCTCCTGATCAGTCATCAACTGTTAGTACAGGGCCGATTCCACCTTGCTGTGTATCTGTACTGAAATGAATACACAGACTGATGGTTCTGTGTAGACCAGACTGCGACATGGCAGTTAAATGGGTGAACCAGACCTATATGACTCAAATACAAAAATCTCAAAAAATAATAATGATTGAAGAAAGCAAGCTGCAGAAAGATAAGCACAAGGTGACGTTACTCTTGTAAAGCCTTGAGATACCCCAAACAACACATCTAAGACGTCACAGTGACCCAACACGGCCGGAGGAGTCTCCACCCACTTCTGAGGCATGCCTACTCCTGRGGATGGGAAGAAAAAACAAGATGGGGCAAAGACACTTTTGACTTTAATTGAAACATTTTATTCTCTTAAAAATATCAATTATACTTATTAATAAAATGTTCGCATTGTAAGATTTGGACAATGGGTACAACACAGATTTTCTGTATGTCAAAGTATCTCACAATTMAATGTTTAAAAACTAAAATACAAGGTTACCAGGTAAAATATGAAAATGAAAAGAGACAATGTGTAATAAAGGAGCTAATTCCTACCTCAGGTTCTTATCCCCCAAATAGCAAAGCAGTGTATGAAAACCTAATCATCTTTAATCAGCCTTAGATTGCTTAATATTTCCCCCCGTCTCTAGAGTACTTTTTCCCTTTATTTATATCTTTCTGAGTTCTTCCCACTATTTATTTGGTTATATTGGTCTCTAAAGAGTTAGAGTCATTTGTGCTTTTCATTTTATCAGTCAAATCAATGGAACAATTTCTCAGGTGTGTTCAAATGAAGAATCTGAGTACTTGCGGGTAAACATACTAAAGGCAAAAAATCAAAACATCTTACTAGTTAACAGGATATTGTTCTGATCCACCCAGTAAAAGGAAACTGAGAGCATCATTGCTAAATCAATTGCGCCACATAAATTCAACCAAATATGAGTCCAACAAATCACGAGGAACTGCCCCCCTGTGTGGTCTTGCACTCTGCGGTAGCTTGTTCCCACAAAGCTCCATGTTTGGGACATGTGCACCAAGAGGTGGCACAAAACASAAGTGGGACTGTCATGGTTATTTCAAGCATGCCAGGAACCAGGAGGCTGGGTGTTCTTACACACAGCCCATGAACTGTGGCCTGTGAACTTGTTCACCTGATTTGGGTGAAGAGCAGAGTCAGACCCAACTCCAGATGCACTTCTGAGAGGCTATCAGGATGACAGGATTAACTGCCAAACTCTTCAAGGGGTTCCTCAACTGAACAACTGGTTCCTGTCRTGGGGATCAAACTGCAGAGAGAGAAACGTGGGTTTCTGGCGTTCTATASATACCAGCCACCAACCAGTTATTGGTTTTTTGGAACTAGCAAGCACCTGTTCCAGGTCCAAACTCCCCTAACCATCACTAGGAGAGTGGGCTAGGCACTGCTGGCTGATACATTCCTGATGGCTGAAAAGTGTCCATTGGTGCCAGACTGTGCCTCATAATTATCTCTTTGTTGAAGACGCCTGCTTTTCAGAAGCACATGGACAAATTCCTTGGCATGAAACTAGGTCCAGGGAAGGAGGTCTGTGCTGGCACCTCTGCCAGCCAACAGCAGCACGGGGGAAATGGTGATTAGGTTATTCCCAGTGACTRCAAATCTGTGATGTAATCAGAATTCCTAACTGGATTTACTAAGACCAGGCTGAGTCTGTGCTAGCAGAACATCTCCCAACATGAATTTACCCTATGAATCAGCCTCCTTTTATCAGAGAAGACATTCAGCATTTGTTTTTTTGGGATTGGCTAACTTCACGTATTCTCCAACTCCATCCATTTACCTGCAAATGCCATGATTTTATTCTCTTTTATTGCTGAGTAATATTCTATTGGGTATACATACCACATTTTCTTTATCCATTCATCTACTGAAGGACACTTAGTTGGTTCCACAGTTTTGCTACTGTGAATTGTGCTGCAATTGATGTGACTGTGACACTGTAGTATGCTGTTTTTAAGTCCTTTGGGTATAGACTGAGGAGAGGGATAGCTAGGTCAAAAGGTGGTTGCATTCCCAGTTTTCCAAGGAATCTCCATACTGCTTTCCAGATTGGCTGCACCAACTTGCAGTACAACCAGCAATTTATAAGCGTGCTTTTTTCCCCACATCCTTGCCAACACTTATTGTTGTTTGTATTCTTAATAGCTGATAGCTGCCATTCTGACTGGAGTGAGATGAAATCTTAGAGTAGTTTTGATTGGCATTTCTCTAATTGCTAMARATGTTGAACATTTTTTCATATATTTRTTGGTTGATGGTATATCACCTTCTGAKATGTGTCTGTTCATTTCCATGGCCCATTTATTGATTGGGTTATTTGTTTTKGGGGGCTTAGCTTTTTGAGTTCTTTATATACCCTAGAGATTAGTGTTCTATCTTATGTGCAAGTGGTAAAGATTTGCTCCCAAGATATAGGCTCTCTATTCACCTTACTGATTGTTTCTTTTGCTGAGAAGAAACTTTTAGTTTGAATCCATCCCATTTATTAATTCTTGATTTTAATTCTTCCACTATAAGAGTCTTATTAAGGAAATTGGGGCCTAATTCAATATGATAGAGATTTGGGCCTACTTTTTCTTCTATTAGACCCAAGRTCTCTAGTTTAATTCATAGGTTCTTGATCTACTTTGAGTTGAGATTTATGCCTGGTGAGAGATAGGGGTTTAATTTCATTTTGTTGCATATGGATTCCCAGTTTTCCCAGCACCATTTGTTGAAGAGGCTATCTTTTCTCAAAGTTATGCTTTAGGTGCCTTTGTCTAATTAATAAAACTGTAATTATGTGGGTTAGTCTCTGTGTCCTCTATTCTGTACCATTGGTCTACTTGTCTATTTTGGTGCCAATACCATGCTGTTTTTGTTACTATTGCTCTGTAGTATGGTTTAAGGTCTGGTATAGCGATACCACCTGCTTCACTCTTCCTGCTGATTGCTTTAGCTATTCTGGGTCTCTTATTTTTGCAGATGAATTTCATGACTGCTTTTTCTATTTCTTTGAGGTATGTCATTGGGATTTTGATTAGAATTGCATTAAAAATGTATAGTGCTTTTGGGAGTATGGTCATTTTGACAATATTAATTCTGCCTATCCAAGAATAAAGGAGATCTTCCCATCTTCTAAAATCTTCTTTAATTTCTTTCGGGTTCTGTAGTTTTTGTTGTAGAGGTATTTCACCTCTCTTGTTAGGTTGATTCCCAAGTATTTAAAAAAATTTTTTTGAGGCTACTGTAAATGGGATAGTTTTCCTCATTTCTTTTTCAGAGGATTTGTCACTGATGTACAGAAATGCCTTTGATTTATGAGTGTTGATTTTGTATCCTGCTGTTTTGCTGAATTCATTTATGAGTTCTAGAAGTTTTCTGGTGAAATTTTTGGGTCTTCTAGGTACTGAATCATATTGTTGGCAAATAGTGCTAATTTGCGTTCTTCTTTTCCTATCTGTACCCCTTTAATTTCTTTCATCTGTCTAATTGCTCTGGCCAGTGTTTCAAGACTACATTAAATATAAGTGGTGAAAGAGGGTATCCCTTCTTGCTCTAGTTTTTAGAGGGAATGCTTTCAATTTTTCTCCATTTAGAATGATATTGGCCTGGGGCTTAGCATAGATAGCTTTTACAATGATGAGATATGTTGCTGTTATCCCTAG